TTTATTAACAGAGTGTAAGCCCAGCTCGACCGCTTCACTGTTAAAATAACTTCATCGATAGGGATGAAATAATGTTACAACAGGTAATAAATCCCATAGGATAATATTAGAAGCATCAGTCTAGTACTAATCAGTGGTATTAAAATGCAAGTGATCCTTCCTGATCAATTCAAGGTTCCCTGAACTACTACTGTTATGATTATCTCTCAAATACTATGCTCATGTTTTGAGTGTATATGTAGAACGTTGACAAATATGCATACTGAATCACTTTCAAGAACAGTGAAACCCTGTAATACAGCCATAATTAGGGGTTCAAGAAACTACCAAGTAAAATGTAGGGGTTGTTTTGTAGTAAGGTAATTAAAAGTTGAAATGTCCTTAGTCAGGAATATAAGTTTGCTTGTGAATAAATCAATGATTTTTATGTTGTTACCGCTTAGTCATCCGAAATACACATAAAAATACCAAAAACACATCAAGTAACTGAAAGAGAGAAATAAGGAGAAAAAAGTCAAGTGATGATCTCGTTATATATGTCTGAATTCATGTTACCGCAGGGCGCATTATAGCAGGGTTCTACTTTACTTTACTTTACTTTACTTTACTTTACTTTACTTTACTTTACTTTACTTTACTTTACTTTACTTTACTTTACTTTACTTTACTCTACTACTGCCCGTAGGGTCTATGTCTCCCTGACCTCTGTTGGACCTGGCTCGTTTAGCTATTTCTAATTAACCCTAACCCTATATATATTATATATTATTAGAGCAGGTTTATTTAATTGCTCGTTAGATGGCGCACAGGTTAATACAAATGGCCTCACTCTCTTTGTTAATTTGTCAGCATTGTCCTGCCTCCAATGCCTCAGAGACAAATGGTTATATTCCTATCTATGCTGACAAATTCGTGATCTACAGCTAACATCGAACCGGCCACGCCCGAGTGTTCCCCATCATGCCTGCCATGAACTGTCCAGTTGCTGACTGCGAGTACAAGCCTGCGGACGTTGATCCTGCAATCGTGGTACAGTTACTCCAGATACATTCGACAGCGGAACACACCCAACCGCAAGTCGCCCCCGCTAAGGTCGAAAAGGTGAAGAGACCTACATTGTCCTCTGGCGGGTCGAGCGAAGAATGGACTTACTTCATGACCAGATGGACAGACTATGTCTCCACAACTAATGTTACTGGCCAGGAAAAAGTAGTCCAGCTGCTAGAGTGTTGTGACGAGGGTCTTCGCAGAGACCTGACGAGATCAGCTGGTGCCAGTCTGACGAATAAGACAGAGGAGCATGTACTGGCAGCAATGGAAAAACTTTCAGTGAGAGAGGAGAACACGATGGTTGCTCGTTTCACACTGCACAACATGACGAGCCAGTACGTGCATTCGGCGCTCATATCACTGGACAAGCGAGTGTCTGCAAATTTGCACTGACATGCCAGAACTGCCAGAATGAAGTGAATTACACCAATGAGGTTCTCCGGGATGTATTAGCTAGGGGTCTGGCTGACAGTGAGATTCAACTCGGTCTGCTCGGAGATCCGAACCAGGACATGACTCTCGAGGAGGTGTTCAAGTTTGTGGAGGCCAAAGAAGCAGGCAAGCGATCGGCAAACAGACTTTTGCAGTCACAGGGTGCAGCTGCTGCACGCAGCCTGTACCAGAAAAGCAAAAGATCATCAACCATGGTTAGAGAAGGGACCAAGCGACATGACACTGATACAGACAGTCAGGAAGTGTGCTCGTACTGTGGTAGGAGAGGTCACGGTAAGAGAGACCCACCTCATGTGAGAAAAAATACCTGTCCTGCTTACGGTAAGACTTGCAGGAAGTGCAACAGGCTGCATCACTTGGAGGCGATGTGCCGCAGCACGACCAACGGTGGGCCTGAGGTGTCAATGGCAGATGAGCAGGGCACAGTTTTCAGCGCGCTCTGCACCATCTCTGATACCACGTCACCCAGTGCTATGCAGACGCCAAACAACGATCCGCTCTGTAGCATCACCACCTTTGATGAGCATGCTGGTATACGTACCCTGACGCTAGATAACCAGCTATCGGACTGCTGGAGACAATGGGCGTCAAGACCTCAACCGTTCATACAGCTGTCAGTATCTTGTAAGCAGGCGGACTATGACGCTCTCGGACATCCTACCCATGCAAAAACTAAGACTGCCTCCCTCCCCGTAATGGCAGATACTGGCTGCCAGAGCTGCTTGGCCAGCATAAAGATGATCAACCGCCTGGGACTCAATGCAGCAGACCTCATCCCGGTAACTATGAGGATGCATGCAGCCAACAGCAAAGGGATCAATATCCTTGGTGCAGCAATTCTGAGGTTCGTGGGAAAGGATAAGCATGGTAGTCTGTTGGAGACTAGGCAGGTGGTATATGTCACAAACAACTCTGACAAGATATTCCTCAGCCGAGAAGCATGTGTCGCTCTCGCCATGATCACGGATCAGTTTCCAATGGTTGGTGAGGTCCTGTCGGCAGACTCCTCATCACAGCCAAACGGTGAGGCCGGCATCACTACCCCGTGTACCTGCCCAAGGCGTCGACCCCCTCCACAGAAACCGGATTCACTACCCTTCCCTGCCACTGAGAGCAACAGAGCAGAACTGCAGAAGTGGCTGATCAACTACTACAGGGGCAGCACATTCAACACCTGTGAACATCAGCTCCTACCTATGATGGAGGGCCCACCAATGAGGCTGATGGTAGCCCAGGATGCTGAGCCAGTCGCCTGTCACAAAGCCATCCCTGTCCCTATTCATTGGCGTGGGAAGGTGAAGGCCGGTCTCGACAAGGATGTGAGGCTTGGTGTCATCGAGCCTGTTCCTGTCGGTGAACCTGTAAAGTGGTGTCATCGTATGGTAGTTTATGCCAAGAAGAACGGTGAGCCAAGGCGAACAGTTGACTTCCAAGCACTCAACACACATGCTAAGAGAGAAACCCATCACACACAGAGCCCATTTCACCAAGCTCGCTCAGTGCCAGCGAATAAGGTGAAGACAGTCCTCGATGCTTGGAATGGGTATCATTGTGTTCCTCTGCATGTCGATGACCGCCACCTGACCACATTCATTACCCCCTGGGGTCGCTATCGTTACAGGGTGGCACCTCAAGGATACATTGCATCTGGTGATGGGTACACTAGACGGTACGACCAGATTATCGCTGACTCTGCACTCTCATATACTGACTATACAAAGTGCACAGATGACACACTCATATGGGCAGTCGGACGGTGTTCCTTCACAGACGCCAGCCCTGCTGCCACCGTTAAGATGGAAAACATTTTCTCCAACGTTGCATGCCGCTGGTCCAGCATTGTTGAAAAAGGGCTTTGGTTTAAGCAGGCAGGGCACATCTGCAGACAGCACATTATAGGAAGACGCGCTGAAGTTCCATTCGCCAATTTATGGGGCTGGGAAGAAGCACGTGACAAGATGATTTCCCATGGACTCCGATGCTGACCAACTCTTCCAGAGGCAGCCAAAGCTAGTCAGTGAACACTGTTAAAAATGTGGATGCAAAAAAAGGTCTTGTGACAAAAGATGCAAGTGTGGTCAAAGCAATCTCGAGTGTACATGCAGTTGTGCTTCTGTTCAGGACAGTGTAAAGCAGAGAATACAGCAAGGCAAATCTGAGCATATTGAGATATCTGCCATTGATCATTTTATAATTACATGACAACACCATTGGATTTGGCGTTTACACGGAATACGACGCGTGCCTTCTAATTGCGTGGCACTGTGTCTTCATGGAAATCTGTGGAACGACCACGTTTTGGCGGGTCACGCAGGTGTACCCTTCCAAAGTACTTCCTCAGAAGGACCGGAACTCTCTTTTAACTTGGAAGCTTTTTCATTCCATATATCTTACTTCACGCCCGTGTGTTCGTAGTACGCCATCCCCCCCGCCCTCCCCCCGCCGATTTCCTTTTGACCTAATAAACATTGTTTATATTGTAATTTGTTTGTTAATTTGAAGATGTCACTCAGCCCTTCATAGAGGGTTGGATCCGATTATTTTCCATCGTTTCCCATCGCGAATTCCTTGACATAGAAAACAGGTATAGACTACCTAGCCCAAGTCCTGGTAACCCGTGGGCCCATATGCTTCAATAGGTTGCCGGATATTTAGGCAAAGACAGTGCGCTTTTGTGGCAGGCCATCCTTGTTCGATTGTGAATCTTATTTCCGGCCAGGAGATCAGGTGAGTGTTTGATGAGGTATAGCATGCACCCATGTGTCTCCTAATACCCGTTCTATGGAGTCATCTGAGATCTCAAAAACCCACCATGTGACCCCAAACCGGATGAGGACCAGATCGTGGGTACTGCCCCACCCCGTGAAGGGGGTCGAACTCTACCACACATGCGCTCGATCCCTGAGTTAGGCAAAAAGCTGCTCTTCTCTGTGGTCGACCATGCCCTACTTCGTGTCAGTTTGCAATCATTTTTTCCCGGCACCAGAACAGGCTGTTCATCTTATGATACTTTGACATGCGCGCTCGCTCTCTTGATCTGCATCTTTGAACTTTCTATACGAGA